AGGATCTCCTTGTAGCCCCAGCTGTCCTGGAACTCGCTATGTAGACCAGGCTGGCCTAGAACTCACAAAGATCTGCCTGCCTCTGCCTCCCAAGTGCCAGGATTAAATATTTTTTTAAATTTTTTTAAATTCTAAAACTATTTGAATTTTAGAAAAGTTGTAAGCACTACCATATTCAATATTTGTGAATTTTTAGTCTTTTTCTTTCTGATGCATCTGAGAGGAGGTCACATACATTAGCTCCTTTACACCTTAACACTTCAGTGTGTGTTTCCTAAGAACAAGAAGATCTCAGCCAGGTACAGTGACTCATACTTGGAATTCCAGCTCTGCAGAGGCTGAGGCAGGTAGATTGCCACATGTCTTAAGCCAGCCTGGGCTACATGAAGTGAGTTTTAGGCCATCTTGGACCATAGAGTAAGACCCTATCTCAAATAAAACAAATACAAAACGCGCGCGTGTGCGCGCGCACACACACACACACGCACGCACACACACCCTTGCATAATCATAGAACAGTTAGCAAATTTAGGAAATGCAACATCTGTTTCATCAGTTTTCTCCATAATCATCTTTAATGTCCAATCGTTTTTTTCATTGCTGGACTATCCAGCGCAAGGTTGCTGTGCTCCACTGTCCTATCTCTTTAGTGTGTTGCCATTGGAGCAATTCTTCAGGCTTCAATACATATCTTTTTTTTTTTTTTTTTTTGAGAGGAAATCTTCCTTTTTTTATGTGAAAAGAGCCATCTTTGAAAAACACAGGCCAGTTCTTTCATCAAACCTCTATGAGTTGGGGTTTGTCTGATGGATATTACCTTTTACCAAGGTTGAGACTATACATTTTTGGTTGGAATACTACTTGCATAAGGGGTGTATACTCACATTTGTCTTTCTTAATTATAGAAATTTTATATGATTGGTTGTTTTTGTGATGCTGAGGGCATTGCATGTGGTAGGCAAGACTTCCTAACACCAAAATGATCCTCAGCATAGAAACAGGGGGAAGAAGGAGGAGAATCTGGGAAAGAAATGACAGTGCCCAGTGTTTCCAGTGAGCAGACCCAAGTATTATTGGCTATGTCATTTGTCAAAAATAATTTGTCAGGGGCTGGAGAGATGGCTCAGCGGTTAAGAACACTGACTGTTCTTGCAGAAGACCCAGGTTCAAATCCCAGCACCCACATGGCAGCTAACAACTGTCCATAACTCCAGTTCCAGGGGATCTGACAGCCTCTTTTGTCCTCCGGCATTGCACGACACGGGTGCACTTAACCTACATGCAGGCAATATATGCATACACATAAAATAAAAATAATTTTTAAAAAAATTGGCACTATTTGTTAAAAAACATTTAAAATTGTGGAAACTCGGTAAATTTCATTTCTAAAAATCAGTCCAAACTCCAGACAGATACATGCTCATACATCTTTAGAATTGTCTGTAATATCAAGCAATTAGAAACCATGTATTCCCTATGCCAGAAGATGTTGAAGTATGAAATACCTGTTTAATTACATATAATGCTGCACTTAAAAATGAAGTTCAGGGGTTGGAGAGATGACTCAGCAAGTAAGAGCACTGGCTGTTCTTGCAGAAGACCCCGGTTTGAATCCCAGCACCCACATGGCAGCTAACAACTGTCTGTAACTCCAGTTCCAAGGGATCCGACATCCTGTTCTATCCTCTGCAGGCATTGCACAACATGGGTATACTTACTTGCATGCACTTACATGCAGGCAAACAATTCACACATACGCATACAATAAAAATAATAAGTAGAATATTTTTTTAAAAAATGGAGGTCAGAGGGCTTGATAGATGGCTTAGTGGTTAAGAGCACTTGCTGCTCCTGCAGAAGACCAGTGTTCAGTTCCTACATGGCAGCTCACAAAACCTGTAACTCCAGCTCCAGGGGACCCAATGCCCTCATTTGGTCTCTACAGGCCCTTTTTCAAAAAAAAAAAAAAAAAAAAAAAAAAAAAAAAAAATCTTTTATTGGTAATGCTATGGACAAAGTATCAGTAGCATAATGTATAATAAAAAACAATCCATTCAAAATTGAGTATGTTGTGACCTTAATTTTTATCACAGATAAAACATAAGAAAAAAACTAAAAAGAAATTTGCAAAAAATATGGTAGTGAGTATCTTTCAATCCATCCCCCACCCCCATTTAGTAAAGATCTGCTATTTGGGTGGTCAGGAAAAGGTGATATTAAACAAGGCACAGTGCACAGTGACAATGACAATGTGACCATAAACTTACTTAGACCAATTGCATGTATGGTTTTAGCTTCTGAAGCTGAAGGGGATGTGCCAGAGCTTTATCATCAAAGAAAAGGGGAAATAGCAAGATGCTGGATCAAGTACTGCTTGACTCTGATGCAGAATGCCCAGCTCGCCATGCAGGTAACGCAATAGAAATTCCTGTGCTTCCTTAAGTGAACCGGTTATAAGGAGCAACTTACAATGGGCTCTGGCTCATCAGACACTGTGTGTCTTGTTTGTATGTTTTCTTTGTGTCTGTGTGTGTGTGTGTGTGTGTGTGTGCACGCGCACGTGTGAGCATGTGAGTGTTAGGTGCACATGTATGTGTAGGTGTGGATGCATGTGTGTGTGCCTGCCTGTGGAAGCTAGAGGACAACCTCAGGTGGCCTTCCTTAGGAACCATCCACCTTGTATATCGAGATAAGAGTCTCTCACTGGGACCTGAAATTGTGATTAGGTTAGGCTGACCTGCCAGCAAGCCCCAGGGACCCACCTGTTTCTGCTTACCAGAACTAGGATTACAAGTGCTCACCACTGTGCCTGACATTGTTATGTGGGACCAGGAGAATAAATTTGGGTCTTCATGTCTGTGTAGCAAGCACTCCACCAACTGAAATATCTCCTTAGCCCTGTTTGTATTTTTTCTGTTTTTGACATAGTTCACTCCATAGTCTAAACTGGACTAGAACTCTCAGCCTCCAACATGCTGGGCTTACAGGTGGGTATCACCTGATAAGAACCATACAAAACACCACCTCTTCTGGCAAACTCTCAAAGCTAGACTGTAAGCTCTATGGGAGATGGACTTTGCCTCATATTTAGATTATTATATTATTGTCCCAAGAAACAGTGCTTTCTCAACAACACTGAATGAATAATTCTTTATCCTCTGCAGATAGTATCTCCTTCCTTTGAGGTCCATGGGACTTCTGCCTTTTCCTAAGTCATTTAAATTCTGTTTTATATTATCCCTATCAGTATTCTCAATTCGTTTTTTTTGTTTGTTTGTTTGTTGTTTTTTTTTTTTTGAGACAGGGTCTCCTTGTAGCCCCAGCCGGCCTGGAACTCGCTATGGAGACCAGGCTGGCCTCAGTCTCATAGAGATCTGCCTGCCTCTGTCGCCTGAGTCCTGAGACTAAAGGCATAGGCCACCAGGCCTGGCCCTTTATCTCGTTTTAGACAGTAGGCTGTGTGAAGGCAGGAAATAACTCTTACTGATCCTCATCTACTTCGCAGTGTTACCTTACACACTGACAAAACCTAAAGGGTAGACTTTTAAGAAATAGCTAAAGTAGTAGGTCAAGAATAGACACAGAGCCAGTCACAGTGGAGAGCAGGGGACCTTGAGAGCTCAGTACGGGGGTGAGTTCAACCCTTTATAGCTGCATGTTGATGGAAGTTTTCTCATTGCCTCTGTCAGTTTCCACACAAAACAGATGATAGTAATACATACTTACTACTGTTTTTACAAGCATTAAAGACCCCCAAATGTCTGAGACAGGGCCAGTGAGATGGCCCAGTGGGTAAAGATGCTTGCCACCAAATCTGACCTGAGTTGCATCCCTGCAACTCACATGATAGAAGGAAAGAACTGACTCCTACAAGTTGTTCTCCAACCTCACACATGCCATGGCAGATACAAATGCACACATGCAAAATTAACTAAATAAATCTTATAAAGAAAAAAAGACTGTGTTTGAGACATAAGTAAATATTAACTACATCATTATTATTAGTAATCTGCAGGGGATCCAGTTCTTAACCACTAAGAAGGAAAATTAAATAAATTACGTAGGTACAGTGTGGCCCAAATTCTCTCTGGGTCTCCTGCGCGATCAGACAAACCATATAATATATTTTATGTGTATTTATTAATTTACAAAGGAATGAGTACCCAGTGCCCTAGCCCCGCACCACACCTCAGAGCCCACCTTAGAACCTGCCTTATCAGACTGTGCCACGCCCATAATTCCGCTCATGCCTCTGGGGCCAGCATAGCCCCAGGTCCACAAAAGTCAGTCCATTCTGTCTTTCAGCTTCCCCACGGCTCACAGCTTCTGTTCCAAGATGGTTCCCAGCCACCACCCCTGTAGTCCACACTCCGAGGCAGGCCCTGCCCATTGGAGGAACTAGCAGTCAGGAGACATGCAGTATACTCAGTGTAGATACAAAGGGGAATTTCTTGTATCTGTTTGGTTTTTGTCTTTGTGTGCATTGAAATATAATAATTTGTATGTGGGGCTAGAGAGACGGCTCACCAGTTAAGATCACTGACTGCTCTTGCAGAGGACCCGGATTCGATTCCCAGCACCCACATGGCAGCTAATAACATCTATAACTCCAGTTCCAGGGCATCACATGACACGGGTGCACCTACATGCAGGCAATACACTCACACACGTAAAATAAAAATAATAAATAAAATTGTTTTTAAAAATGTGTGTGTGTGTTTGAGACAGTCTCACTATCTAGCTCTGGCTGACCTGGAACTCATTCTGTAGACCAGGCTGACCTTATGCCCAGAAGCATAAGTGTTGAAAAGAGATCATTTTGGAGAAAGTGAAGATAAGACATACTGGAGGCTGGAGGTGTATGTAGTTCAAGAGTGCTTGCTTAGCACGCAGGAAGCCATGTGTTCAGTTAAGCACTGCAAAAACCAGGTGAGGTGGTACACCCTGTAATCCCAGTGGAGGGAGGAAGGGAGAATCAGGAGCTCATGGCCATCCTCAACTCTGTAACAAGTTTGAGGCCAAACTGGTCTATATGAATCCTTGCCACAAAACAAAAGGCAAGGGACTGGATAGATGGTTAAGAGTGCTTCTTGCTCTTTAGGAGATCAGAATTCGGTTGTTAGCACCCATATCAGTGACTCAAAATGTCCTGTAACTCTAGCTTCAAGGGATACGACACCCTTTTCTGATCTCTCTGGGTACCTATACATGTGGCATACAGACACACATATGGCATTCAGATACACAGAAACAGGGTCTCACTGTGTAACACCTGGATAGCCTGGAACTCTGTAGACCAGATTGATCTTGAACTCACAGAAATCTGCCTGCCTCTTGCCTCCTGAGTGCTGAGATTAAAGGCATGCACTAGCATACTGAGCAAAAAAAAAAAAAGTCTTTTTTTGGTCTTTTTTAAGACAGGGTCTCTCTGTAGCCTTAGCTGGCCTAGATTCACTGTGGAGACTAGGCTGGCCTCAAACTCATAAAGGTCCACCTGCCTCTCCCAACTGCTGGGATTAAAGGCAAGTGCCACCACGCCCAGCAAAATTTTTTTCTTTTAATATTTTATTTGGTGGGTATGGTAACATAAGCCTTCGGGAAGCAGAGGCAGG